TTATGTAGTTTGTACAACACTGCTAACGAGAGAGGACCTGACTGTAGATTTAATTTAATTATTCAAAAATGCCCCTCATACACCTAGAAACGAAACTTTTGAGTAATTAAGTAAAGTACATTTATTTTTGTCCTTTTCTTTGTCGAAATGATATAAATGTAGTATTTAAAGCTTTTACATTTTATTAACAGGTTTGCAATCATAATATAATTTCTAACAGATGCCACATTTTGCGAATATGTACAAATCACATAAGAGTTGCAATCAAAATAAGCTCCTCAGTTTACAATAGACGGAATTTAGTGTGATCGCATAGTGATCAGCCAGTGACGTATATATATTTAAATTACAAAATATAATTTAATATAAGCAGATTAAATCTGCTAAAAATATATTTCAAGACAGTCGCGAACCGTTTTCATCTGCTACTGTCAAATAGATTAGGTACATATTATTACATAAGTACATATTCGCAAATCTCAATAAATTTTAAACAACAATTGCATCCGCATTACGTCGTTAAACCTGCGCCTAAGAAATGGCAAACTATTCTCAATTGTAACAGATTACAGTATATTACAATTTCGTAAAAGTCATTTAAGTTACAAGTTAACTTTCGCAATTGTAACTGTAAATTATTCCTACACTATCACAAAACTGTACATTTGAATCTGTTTCAAAGATAACTTGTTCCAGATTCACATAACCAAACTTCACCTGATTGAGTACAAAGAAACGATAGTAAATTTTGGATTACGTATAGAATAAGGGAATAGTACAAAGTAGTTGAGATGTTGTTGACGGTCTCGGTGATCTAGCGGTTTAGCACTACCGCATTCCTTCGATAGTCGTGGGTTTTATTCCTCGATAAGCTCTGCTTAGCTTGTGACTAGATAGCGTGTGTGGATTGTCCAGGGTTATTATTATAGTTTCACTAGCTAGGTAGCGCGGTTTCGCCGCCGGCGCCGTTTAATTTAAAAGAATTGCACCGCACCCGCTTTGTATCACTCGTCGCGTTATTACTTAATTTTCGCTAAGCATCCGACGTTGCTCCACTCCTAAAGATTGTAGAGTGATATTAAATAGTCTACAATCGTCTTCAGAAATTAAAATATAAAATACAAAAATATTTTTTCGTAATATCACGGACAGTGTAACTAATATGTGTTGTTAATATTATAAAAGCGAAAGTTCGTGTATGTTACTCTTTCACGCAAAAACTACTAGCACATTCTGATGAAACTTTACAGTAAAATAACTTATACATCAGAATAATACATACAGTATATTTTAAAAATATATTATGTAAATTGGGCGAAATACAATATCAAGGATACGCGAGCAAGCAATAAATAATGAGATATAAATTAAATATTCTATTATATACTAGACCCGTCACGACTTCGCGCGGGTACAAAGTAATTATTTTTATGATTAAAATTTTTCACTTTATCGTACTTTTTCTTTTATACAAAACTTGTTCTGCTATACACAATAACAAAATAATCTGTCAAATAGTTGATACAATAGTGAAGATATACATTTGTCGTAACGGTAGTAAAGTTTCCGAACTGAATATATGTGATCCCACACATGCTATTTGTAGCGGAATTAAACAAAATAATATGAAAATAATTTACCAAATATATGTACTACTTAATAGATTTCAAAAAGTAGTACATACATTCGGCAATTGGTTTTCATTAACTGGCTATATGCAGAAACTCGTCAAATAAAACAAAAGTTGCGTTCAATAATTAAAGACAAATAGGCACGCGGATAAATTTTCGTATATTTTACAGCATGCGTACCGGCAAATAATACGAGTATGTTTACAATTCTCTGAAAATATACTCGCCTAGCAAATATCGCATCAAAATGGTTACCACACATTCATGACCTTTCACATTTTAACATTAAATCATTTGTTAAATTTATAATGGAATTTAGAAGTTTAATTTGTAAGACCTACATAGTGTAATGGTTGCAGTTTACTGCCTCACTTTCTGGTGATCGTAAGATCCAATTATAGTATTATTAAGTACGAACATTGGTTGATTTACTCAAAATTTGTTTGTAAATACAAAAAGATAAAAAGATATGAATTGGGTAATTGAAATATACAGTGTGTGAGTGAGCACATAAAGATCCAAACGTAATAGCATCTATTTGTTAGTGCTGCACTTGAATTAATATTGGTTGCTCTCTACCTAGCGAGCAGACAGTTACACATTCATAATCTCACACCGCTCTGTAACCGGACATTGAAGAGTGGCGTTCAGTTCCTTTCTGTCAAACAGACTGGGAAATAACGCGGGCCGTTAACAATGGAACTCGATGTACGATGAAATTACTGGATTGCCACAATGTTTTATTTGAAGAAATTTCTAATCATTTCCAATTCCGAATATCAATATGATTTTGAATTTCACAATAATAATATCACGTTTGTTATGCGATATTATCACAAATATCATCGAACTTGTTTAAAACAAATATAAAAGCTGTTTTACGATATAAAATATTCAGCAATTTTAGAGTTCCCGGAATTGAAATTATTATGGTAACAATATCTATAGGCATAGAACAGCTCGTTTTTAAATGAAACAAGACACGATATACAATGTACGTATAATTTAATAACAAAATGTATAAACGATAGCCTCCTAAGGCTATATTTGCAGAACGAACATAAAATATATTTTATTTAATCTTATATAGGCAGTGTCCTCAATTTAAATATAGAAGTTTGGAAATTTTAAATATGTTATGACTTTGTCCTTAAGGCAACTGTGCTTTGCGCTATAAGTTGAGGTCATATTGGTTCAAACTTTGATCACACATTTTTAGTTATAGTTTTAGTTTTCTGTATTACAATATTACAACTTTTCTTGCTTTAGTATTTTTAATACACCTAGATTTTAATTAGTTGTAACATTGAATAAACATTACATTAATAAATTATACTTTTTGCTCCCGTCTGGGAATCATATAAATATTACAGACTTTTAGGACTGGACAGCGATACTCTAATATTCTTATGAATTTCTTCTTAACACTTGAAAATTCTCATCATGATATATTAGCCTTTGTCTATCCTGATTATAGAATTTTAAAAGCACGTATATATAATAATAATAATAATCTCAGGACAATTTACACAGCGCCGTCTAGACCCAAGTTAAGCTAGCTAAAGCTTATGTTATGGGTACTAGACAGCTGATACAAATACATAGAATAGAAATTACCCAGACTGATACAAATAATCATACTCATGAATACAAATGTTTGTGCCATGCGAGGATTCGAACCCGCGACCATCGGACGTAAAGCGGCGTGCTAGACTGCTGTCTAGCAGTATTAAGATGACTGTATTTGCATAAATTGTAAAAGAATCATAATATCTGAAAGAAAAACAAGCACGCCGACCCAAAGCAAAAACACTACTGCTTCCTCCAGCTTCAAAAAGGGTTTAATAGTAGCACCCAATGAAACATCCCAGGTAACATTAATACACAACTCCTCTCAATTAGGCAATATTACTACTAGGAAATATAATGTACCAATACAAAATTCATTCGACTCTTTATCTGATGAAAACGATACAGATTGTTCCAATCTCAGGAGTGATACTCTAAACAGAAGCTGTCCGGAAACTAACCTAATTAGAAAGCACGAACTGGAAGATCTCAACAAAAGATTACAGGAATTAGAACAAAAACTTGGTAGCGCTAACAATGAAATTGAAAATTTGTTACTCGAAAATAATAGTTTAAAAGAAAGATTAGCTGAAAACATTTTTCAAATAAAACAACTACAAAATATATGTCGTATTACACCAAAATCAACACCTAAACTAAATAAAAAAAAGAAAATAGACGAGAAAGTTGATACAAATTGTCAAGAATTTAATGATGGTGGTCTCACCGAGGTCGTCAAATAATAATAATTTATCAATTCCTGTTTCGCTCAATAAATTTACAAAAAGTGAGAATGAATGAAAATATTGACAGGGTACAGCGTGATCCGCAACAGTACCGCTGCTCGTCATGGCTAAAAGATATCTTACTAGTTTTTGTACGGCGAGTTATTATAATTCAACACGTGTATCGTGTGATAAGCCTTACGAGGCCAAAATAAAATCGACCCTTCAGCTACAGAGGCCTATAAACAGATTTTAAGGCCAGATATAGCCAGTTTATTTTTATCGCGTAGAGGCAGACACTTGGTGCTGTTTTGTTTACTTACTTTAAAAATTACGAGCCACAATATACATGCAAATATTTTGATAAAACTTATATAATTCTTCTAATTTATTACACGCACAAATACTATAATGTACAGAAAGAAGACCATCGGCAGTTACAAGTGACCTATTGGCCCACAGTTGTGTTTTATGGGTTCTTGAAAAACATTTTATTTAGATTTTTTTTATGGATATACTTTAAGTACCCTTATTTATTTTTTTTGCGATTTTTATTTTAAGTACTTTAGAAAGAAAAGAGAGGTGTGAGATAATATTTTTAAAATTTTTCAAATATTATGTATATAATAAACATATTACGCCGACCCCAAATAAATGTGACAAGGAAGAAGCAGAAGGTGATGATGAATAAAAATTAAATTAGAAATATATAAACGGGACCTCTTTCATAATATATAACTCCCTTTCTGTAAGTGCATAAAGTAATGACTAAGATTATAACTTCAAAACAGCTCCAATATTAAATTAAATTATTTGAATAAAGAGTACATACTTTATTATGAAAATTACTTCCCGTGCCATTCTAAAAGGGTTTTCATTGGGGATGAAGATTTGAGAGTTCTACACGAGTAATGCGTAATGGCGTAAACTAGTTAATGTGTGATGGCTTCTAACTTAAAAACAGCTCGAATATTAAATTTATTTATTTGAATAAAGAGTACCTATTTTATTTTTGAAACTTCTTATATTATGATTTGAGGCCAGTAATTCTACCGAAAATAGTTAAGGTACTTACATGTAGGTTGTCAAATCTGTGAGTAGCGCAAAGGGCGCGCATATGAGGTGGACAGTTTTCGGCGCAATGCTCGCAGCAGGTGACCTCCTCGGTGTCTTCCTCATCATCTCCACCACCACTAGCACCACCACCCTCCATGCCGGGGTCTGGAACCAACACCACATTTATAGCCGATGCTTATGTATTAATCTATTCAATACACAATGGCAAGAATTGTTACTTGACCCAGTACAGCCAGTTTAGATATGAAAGTTTAAATGTAGCCGGAACGAAAGACTGCTGGCTCATCTGATGAAACGCGAAAATCCTAGCTTGTATGTATACTACTGTAAAACGAGTGATATCCCTGACAAACCTCACTTATATAAATGAACAATACTGACTAGTGATAGCCGCTACGCGATGCCGTTCCTGAGGCCTAATGTTTTCTTTTTTTATCCAACTAGAGTGGTTAACAAGCAGATGGCTGCCGTCAATTAAAGTGACACTGTAAATATGATCAGCTCCCGCTCGTACAGTCGATATAATAGGGCCAATAAAAGAGCAAAAGGGAAGTAAATTGATAAGTTCTGTATTAAAAAAAAAATCAAGAGCCAACCGTTGATTAATAATATTAAGTTTATTAATAAAAATTACTATTTCTTATTTATAAGTGAAATTGCCGGTAATTTATAAAAAAGGGAATATTAAAAGGACTGGAAATAAATGGGACTTCGTGCGAACCAGTTGGCTATATGGGGTTTACTCACGTTCGTATGTGGAGGTGTCTTCGACCCCACAACTTTCAGTCTCGTCAGTATTACCCTTAATCATGAGGACGTTTACGGTTCGTGTCGCGAGAAGCACTGCGGGCCCAACGCGGCGGTTGTCTCCGTGCGAATGCTGACGATGGATGTGGGAACCGCGTTCAGCATCCGGCGACGTGCCAATACTACACATTATGTTATAGTAATACGAACTGTCCTTAGATACCACATCAGCGGATCCCGTTTACGTAATCTATACCTATATTCATATTATAAAAAAAATTGTTTTTATATCGAAGGAAAATATTTAAAAATTATGAACAGTATTTAATTCCTTTACGCATAAATACATCAGGCGGATCCCATTTACGTATTCTATATTGACTGATATTTATATTATAAAAAGAATTAATTGTCGTTGGAAAATATTTAAATATAATGGACAGTTTAAATATTAATTTACTTTATGAGCGAGTTATATACGTTATATTCGTAGACAACGTCGCGATAAACAGCTAGTTATGTATATTAAGTATTATTACAGTTCAATTAAAAAAAATATCGTGTTTAACTATAAAGTGAAACATATATAAACATGTATGACAGTTTGAGCTTTTTCATAGAACTTTTGAGGATATTTTGAATACTATCTGCGCCACTCCTGTATGGCGATGTATACATTCAAAATCTATATACGATTATTTAGAATAATTTTAGGTTATTTTTTTTGTAAAACTAATACAAAATTCTATGTATGGTTTGCTATAATACATCAGAGTGAAAACCGCAAAAAAAAAATTACACCCGCTTCTAAGAGATGCGTGCACAAACGCATAGACAAACAAATAAATTTTATACGATATTATTGAACTTCGAAATAATAATGAGAAAGTAAATGAATGGTTTCTTTATTTTTTAATGTTAGAAAAAAAAATTGTGTCTTATTTACGATTTAATTTAATTTATAATTATCAATAACCTAGCTGATTACTTCTATTTTGTTGAACGTTTAGATATTATGATTCTACGCTTTTTTAAATAAGGTCGCAAATATTATTAGATCCTGACTGAGATGTGCTGTGCTGTGATGTGCGACATAAAAAAATATCAAATACTAAGTACATATCTCAAATGTCATTTACATGCCAAAAAACATAATCCATTTATTCTTCAAAGCATATTACGGACCAAAGCAAAATCATTTATTCATATAGAACATTTTTTCCTACTTATGGTAAGTTAAGTCTATCAGAATATAGTTATGCTGTGTAGAAATCGACAAGAAATACTGGCGTCAAATATACATCTTAATAATACGTATTAAAGCTTCACTTGCATATCCTTGGGTCTCAAGATGTCGCTAATCTTATTACACAAAATCCAGAAGTACCCTGATACAGACGTACATAATATTAAAGTCAAGGATTTGTAAGTCCCTAAGGAGTTTTAAAGGCAAATCGATCTCTTATGGAGAAAACATGAGGGAATCGATCAGTAAATCGCTCGGAAACGAGTCTGTGCAAAGTATTTAATAAATATATGTTGTTTTGGTAACAAATATGTATACATGTATATATTTATATGATTGTCGGAAATTCTTACACTAGGCTTGGCCTGTCCTGTTGAAAATAGGGTATAAATACCAATCGTAATTAAAACAAACTTTACATAAAGTTGTAAATTGTATATATAGGTATTTTTAAAGTTTTGTGTTTAATACACATTACTAAATCAGTTAATCGGGTCTTAACACAAACAATTTTATGGTAAACATAGGTATTTACCAGTCAGTAGCCTTTTTACTACGATAATACATGACATACAGTTGATACTCTGTTGCTACCGAACTTTGAACTAACCTTACTAGTGTTATAAACGTGAAAGTTTATAAGTATGGATGGATGTTTGTTGCTCTATCACGCAAAAACTAATGAACACATTTTGATGAAAATTTACAGTAATATATCAGATTATACATCAGAATAACATGTAGGCTATAAATTTCAGGTGGGTGAAATGTCAGACCGTTAAGTACATCTCCATTTGTATTACCACATTCAGCGAAATAAATAATTTAATTTCATCCATTACCCTGTAATTTCACAGCCATATCTTAAAATACTTATTTTTATGACGTACCCTGTAGCTGTCGCTTCGTTTACATTCTCAATATAACCCGACGACGTCTAATGAATTGCAGATTATCCTATAACTATCAATATGATTAAACATTCATACGTATGTAATTTACTTGTACAATATTTTGCTTGACATCGACAATGTTTTTACGTGGGCGCGGAGCTGTCTGGAATTCTGATCATTTCATTAATTAAGTACAATATTTACTAGGTATTCTGTGGGTAATATTGTACACACTTTTGGTCTACGACACGCATATTTGGACAACGAAGTGCCGAAGTGAATATTGCTTCTCAAAATTAAGCTTTATCGGCCTCAATGATCTGCCGGTATAACGCCAACTGTTTTAGTTCTCGGTTGTACGTGTAGCGGTCTAGCACACCGCTTTACGACCGATGGTCGCGGGTTCGATTCCTCGCACGGCACAAACATTTGTATTCATGAGTATGATTGTTTATATCGATGTGGGTGTTTTCTATGGATATTAAGTATGTATTTAAAAAAAAAAATTGGTATTTGTATCAAATTGGTCTAGGATATTTTGTGTGTATTATGTATTATTATATAAGTATTTACATTTTTTTTATACTACTATGGTGGCAAACAGGCATACGACCCATCCGATGGCAAGCGGCTACCACAGCCCATGAACGCCTGAAACATCAGGGGTGTCACGTGCGCGTTGCCGACCCTTGGGGTCATTCATTCTCATTAAAGGGGAATAATTGATCCATTTCAATGTTAAGTTATGTGGACAACCATGCAGTCGCGCCTTGTGGCCATCTAGTTAATGTCTGTTGAATTCGCTATCATTCTCCATATTTATCCTATCCCGCGTATACCAAGTACCTGGTACCCGGTAGCTATATGACGGCGTCGGTGGACTACCGGTTTAGCACACCACCTTACCTACGATGGACGCGGGTTCGATTCCTCGCACGACATAAACATTTTTATTTATGAGTATGATCTGGGCGTTGTTTTATGTATAGTATCGATGTATTTACGAAAAAAAATATCTATGTATTTGTATCAGTTATCTAGTACCCATAGTACAAGCTTCAGCTAGCTTAACTTGAGATAAGATGGCGCTGTGAATTGTTCTGAGATTATTATTATTATATAGATATGTTTATATTTAACGCGAACAAAGCTGTCTGTAACTTTTAGTGTACAACTAAATACGTTGCGGCCCAAAAAACTCAGGTGCCCATATTCATGGGGTAATTTTACCCAATCCACCCGCGGGACCCGATGCGTATGTTTTGAATATTGCCTGCTTACGCCTAGTTGGGAGGCTTTGATGTTTTCTGCACAAGGTCAGATGGGTCCAAAGCGAATATGATAGTGGCATGTTTTAATAATACGAACACATTTTTATTATTTCTATTTACGATGTCTTTAAAGATATGTAGCACTGCGACCTGATGACTAGATGTATTGTATTTGCATGATTGTATTCGTAGTTTTATTTAGTGACTAGTTATTTGTTTGGGGTTTTAAAGATTGTTTCGTTGCTTAGTGACGGAAATTGTAACATATTTCCCTTAAATTTTACCTTTTCGGACCACCAACACAGCGCCTTCTAGTCTCAAGGTAGGAAGAGCTTGTGTTATAGGCACTAGATAACTGATATAAATTAATAGATATTTTTCGTAAATACATACATATTTTACGTAGAAAACACTCAGACCGATACAAACAACCATACTCACCGAGACCGTCATATTATTCGAGTTCTTTAGCGAAAGATTAGATGATTATATAATATATAAAAAATACATATGTAACATGTTTGCCTTAAACAGACACGTACATGTGTATACGTATATAATATTGTAAATAGTTATTAAAACTTTTAATTTTTCATTATAAAGAAAAAAAAAGTACTTTCACAAATTTAAAAAGCTCACTTCATACTGTGTGTAGTAGCTATAAATATAATAATGTGGAAACTGGATTGTTTTCCCTTTACAATGTAATACATACTTGAACGTTTCTTTATTGCAACTAACTTCCTGAATGAAGTTAGTTGCAATAAAGGAACGGAAGGCAATATAAGGTTCAATGCTTTGTAAAAAGTATAGTGCTATAAGTATCATGACAAAGAAGAGAAAACCTTATTGTAAAAGAATCGTTTTGTATTAGATAAAGAATAAAACCGTCTATGACCAAGAGATTCAAATCTCTTGTTCAACTAATGAACACTAATGAGCTTGCTTTGCAAGTTATGCTTCGGTGAGAAGGGGTACAAGCTGTAA